AGAGAGAGAGAGAGAGAGAGAGATATATATATATATATATATATATATATATATATATATATATATATATATATATAGTTTGTTTTCTGCTGTTCTTGCGCTATCTGTTAAAGTATTGGTTAAGCAACAATTGATTGGGACATTAAAATTATTATTATGCCCATTAATAAATCATAGTACTTTCATAGCAATTTAAACTACCCCTTCAATACGTACAGTAAGAAACAAAAAAGAAGCTGCATATATAGGACTGGACATAGGACTGCATACACTCGGTGGAAGAATGTCTTTTTTTGTTGTGCTAGAATGTTAAAGTGGCCCTCCTATGAATTGTCAGACACTGAGATGGCCCCCCGCCCTGCTCTTAGCAATGCATATTACTGCATTGGCATTTACACATACATTTACAAATCAAGCTTTGTTATAATTACAGTAGGAAAATTGCAAAATGTCTTCATAGAAGATGATCTTGGTATTATAATGATTTTTGAGATAATTAAAAAATCAATAATTTTAAACCCTACAATTTGCTTATTGCCAAAGTTACATCTGTGAAACTTAACTCTGGTGTTGTGGTCCAGGGTCACATATGTGTATTTTGTGAGATAAACTTGTTAAACTATTTCCGTTTGTGAAAATATTGAAGAAACACAAAGTGAAAAGATTAGCGCAAATGCCTTGTCATTTATCTTCCATGCTTCAATTTCACATTCAACACACTGATGGCTAAGCTGTACTATTTATCTACTCGACTGATCTTTCAGTGTAGGGAATAGTATTATGTCTTGTGTTCTTCTCTTCTCAATTTCATGTTTATCTGCATCAGTGTAGCTAACAGTAAGCCTGTTAAATCAGTGATGATAGGAGTGCTGAGCATGTGAAATTTATACCCCGAGGCAGTTTGTTTGGAAGTCGGCGAAGTTGTTTCCTGTCAGGGCAGTGTTGAAGAAAGCACTCTTGATATGCTGTCTCTCTGACTGTGTTTTCCACCAGGCTACTGTATAATGTCACGTCCTACTGCTTTTCATAATAGCTATCACAGCCTTTTCTTGCTCGCTACGAGAATGTTTACAAAAAAACTGTTGGCTGCTTTGCCAAAATTCTGTTGACATACTCAGAAAAGGCTCCTCTCGACTGTGGATGAAGAGGATAATCTTTCTAGAATATGCAGACTTGAGGTATTGAGTCACCAATTAAAGATTATCAGAAGTCATTGCATAATTCTGACATCAAAAATATGGAAAAATGTCAATAGGTATAATCTTTCTGTCAGGTTAATTTAAATGAAACGTGTGCTTAGTGACTTATTTGGAACACTTTATTTACTGAGCATACTGTATGCGTGTGTCACAGGAAACGTTTCTCTAGTAGAGATTTGCTGTGTTTAAGTTCTCCTGGGAAGTTTGTTTTTACGAGTTGGCAGATCGTAAATACAACGTTAGGAGTATTCGCGTCAGAGAAAGATGACAATGTATATTTTATACATAGAATTCAAGACTACAAAAACATTAAACAATGTGCACCAGTGTGTTTTGTGTCCACTGAAAAAAAATATTCAAAGATGATTCCTTGAATATTCCTAAGATATTCCTAAAATATTCCTATTCAAAGATGATTTTCTTGAATATTCCTAAGATATTCCTAAAATATTCCTATTCAAAGATGATTCCTTGGATTTATTTTGTGTTGAAAGTGGTTGTAAACAATTTATTTTGGCTGAATTTAAACAAGCAAATTAAGTTGAATATTATTAAACCTAATTTGTTTGTGTAAATTCAACATAAATAAATTGTTTGCAACAGTTCTGCATGCAACACTTTTTTCAGTGGTGTGTTTTTCAGTTCATAAAGGTCCTGTAAACTTCATATTCGGATAAGTTTATAGTTCATGTACTACGCACTAGAGATGCAATGATTATAGATTTTGGTTGTACGATTATAGTCTTGGAAATAATCACGGTTTCATGGTTATCACGAGTATTATGCATTCATTAATTTTCAAACCCCACTAGTTTAGAATAAGATGAAAACTCCTTATATTTTACAGTGTTATTCATTGCTGCTCAGTAACTAATTAATCCAGCACAAAATAATGTAAAAAACAAACAATAGTCAATTTCTCGCTTTGTGCTTAAAAATAAGTGAATGCTTTTGACATTTAAACAGAAATAATTTTACACTGTAAAAAAATGACAGAACAATAAATAAAATGAAAAAAAAAACAGTATTTGTCTAATGCAGGGCTTGAAATTGCCAGCGCTCCCAACTATAAAAACGTATGAGCATCAGAAAAATGTAGGAGCACCCACTAAAAATGAATGAACACCACTGCAACTTTCATATTAACAGATTTACTGTATTTGAAAACAACATTAATTAGGACTATCAAAAACCAGAAACAACAATAGTAATACTATAGTAAAGTGCAACACAGTTAATGAATGCTACAGCATACTTTTACAGTGAACTGATAAACTATAATAAATACTGCAGTATTTTACTTTAGTTTTACTAAATTAAACTATGATATATTGTAGTGTAAAGTGATATGTATTTATATATATAATGCATTTATCATGTATGGACGCACACAAAGCGCTTTACAAAAATGAGGGGGGTCTCTCCACAACACCGCCAGTGTTAAGCATCCACTTGGCCACAGGACAAAGGCGCCAGTGCGCTCACCACACACCAGCTATAGATGAAGTGTAGCCAGTTCGGTGGATGGGGTTGATTAAGAGACCATGATGGTAAGGGCAGACGGTGAAAATTTAGCCAGAACACCAGGGTTACACCCCTACTGTTTACGAGATAGCCATGGGATTTTTAATGACCACAGAGAGCCAGGACTTCGGTTTAATGTCTCATCCAAAAGACGGTGTCCACTGACAGTATAGTATCCCCTTCACTTCACTGGGGCAAATAATATAATATAATGGAATCAAACATATAATATGAGGAGAAGAGAAGATTTTATTCAATACATTTCTAACCATAATAGTTTTAATAACTCATCTCTAATAACTGATTTATTTTATCTTTGCCATGATGACAGTAAATAATATTTGACTAGATATTTTTCAAGACACTTCTAAACAGCTTAAATTGACATTTAAAGGCTTAACTAGGTTAATTAGGTTAACTAGGTAGGTTAGGGTAATTAGGCAAGTTATTGTATAACGATGGTTTGTTCTGTAGACTATCGAAAATACATATAGCTTAAAGGGGCTAGTAATTTTGACCTTAAAATGTTTTTTTTTAACAAAATAAAAACTGCTTTTATTCTAGCCAAAATAAAACAAATAAGACTTTCTCCAGAAGAAAAAATATTATCAAACATACTTTGAAAATTCCCTTGCTCTGTTAAATATTATTTGGGAATTACTTAAAAATTCAAAGGGGGGCTAATAATTCTGACTTCGACTGTGTGCGGTAATGGAGTGGGAAAATAATAAGCTTGTGCTTCATCCCGCTTCATTTTCGACCATGTTGAAATGTATTTTTTGTTAAAGATATTTTATGTATGATATTTCTGTTCGAAAAGAAATAAATCGAATCAAAATATAAGGATCATTTCTGAGGTAATAAATGTGCATAAAACCTTCTTTTGTAGATTTTTTTGCAACTTTCCTGAGCCACAAACCTACTATCAGTGTTGGGCAAGCTACTTGAAAAATGTAGTGAGCTAAGCTATTAGCTACTCTACTTAAAATGTAGCTTAACTACACTAAAGCTACCCACTGGGAAATGTAGCAAGCTAAGCTAAAAGCTACAAGGCAAAAATAGCTTAGCTACATCCAAGCTATTTTTGCAATTTTTATTTTGAAATCGAAGCTGTCAGGGTTCTGCCACTCTGGTCATGTAAATTCTTGTTTTGGTTGCGGAATCCGGACACTAGTCATGTCTAGTCCTGTCTTGTTGTGCTCAGCTCAAGTTTTCTTGGGCCGAGCACTTGTTTCTGTCATTGTGTGTGTCTCCGCTTGATGCGGCCACGCAGGCTCTGCGTCCCTCTGACATGCGCATGCACTCTTGTACTCGTGTTTGTATTTTCGTCTGTCTGCAGCGTGGTGTTTTATTCCCAGTGTCTCAGTCTAGTTGGTTTCGGTTTTGGTCGGCGCTGGGATGAAGCATGCATGCATGCGTGTGTGAGCGCACGGTGAGTGTTTTTATTCATCGTGTGCTCGTGTCTTGCGTCTGTTGTCAAAGCACGTGGCTATGTGTTTACATTGTGGTCACGTGCTTTTGTCGTGTGCTTCAGTGTTGTGCTTGTCTTGTCATGAACATGCGGTTAATGAGTTCTCTCATTGGCTGCATGTTCTTGTCCTGTTTTATGTGAGCGCATGGCTTGTGTTGTCTCTCTGTGTCATGCGCTCTCCCGTCTAATGTCTAGTCCAGGGGTCAGCAACCCGCGGCTCTAGAGCCGCATGCGGCTCTTTAGCGCTGACCTTGTGGCTCCCTGGAGCTTTTTCAAAAATGTTTGAAAATGGAAAAAGATGGGGGAGGTTAATATATTTTTCAGTTTTAATAGGATTTCTATGGGAGGACAAACATTTCTAACGTTTTCAAATGCTGTAAAAGTGTGTAGAATTAATATTTAATTTCAACATTTCTGTCAACGAAGATTTGCGTCATAGCCCGCGACACACGTTTCTATCAGCAGGGCGGGATGCCAGGCAGGTGGCTGTTGTAAACAAACTGGGAGATAATAAAGCACGGAAAACCGTTCACAGATGGTGACTACATGAAGGAGTCATTCATCAACATATTAGAACACCTATTTGCAGACTTCAAAAACCAAACCAAAATAATACAAAAAATTAAAGATATACCTCTCTCCGCTAAGACAGTGAAGGAAAGGGCTATTAAAATTGCAGTAACATCACCGATCAGCAAACCAAGAACATTAATTCAGTGCCAGTATACTCAATTGCATGTGATGTGACCGATATTCGACGCGCTTTTATGCATGTGAATTCTGATGGGCCGCAAGAAGAAATTATCAAATTATACCACTGAAAGACCAGAGGCTGTGCTGAAGTGTTTAAATGACAAAGGAATAAACACCAACCACCTGATTTCAGTGGCTATTTCATCATGAAGGCTCATTATGTTTTTGTAGCCAACTTAGTCATTTTTATAGTAGGCTAATATAGATACATACAGCATGTGTTTCCTTCATTATAAGGCTTTACATTTTTTGCAGCTCCAGACATATTTGTTTTTTGTTTTTTTTTGGTCCAATATGGCTCTTTCAACATTTTGGGTTGCCGACCCCTGGTCTTGTCCCACCCTCCTTGTTAACTCATTATTAGTGTGTCATGTTCACCTGTTTGTGTCAATTTACTTTTGCTTTATAATCCCCTCATGTTTTCTGTTCTGTGCCAGTTCGTCATCAGATGTCATCGTTTCCTGTCTTCTCCTGTTTTCCAGTTTGCCAGCCTGCCCAGTCTAGTTTGTTTGTTTGTTTATTTGTTTTATTAATATTTTCCCCCTTTGGGTAGTTTGTTTTGCTGTTTTGCTTTTTTTTAGCAATAAATACCCATTATTTCTTTGCACTTGAGTCCTCGCTTCTTTTCCCCACCTCGACCGCGACAGAAGCAACTTAAATCCAAGTCGGTTATATTTTAGTGATCAATAACTGTCAATGAAACATATGAGGCATAATAGTTCAGTTCAGTTATTTACTGAAAATAGTGCGCTGTACAAAACAGAAACAAAGTATAGTATAACAGCTAAAACAAAAAATCCAATAAAACCGGTGTTACAGGTGTTACACATTTAATTTACTATAGTAAAGGGAATTTTTTTGGAATTATATATATATATTGTTATTGCATAAGTTATTGCATCTTAACATGTACTTCTCGAGGTATGGTCACGAGGAATCCTGCTTCAGAAATAACTCCTCTCCCTCAGTCATCTTTCCATCAAGCAAGTTTCCATCATCGCCAACCAGAGGTGGCAGTAACGCACCAAAAAGTTTGTTGTCGAACACCGTAAAACAGGAAGAAGAAGAATTCCTCGTTCTAGCCATCATATAGATTTACTATCACCGGCTACACACCGGCTATGTGAATGTCGGTGACATCACTTATTGATCCGCGATCTGTAAATGTAGCTTGTGTGGAAGCTACTGCGCTACTTGACTAATAAAATAGCTTCGCTACTGAAAAGCCATGTGATTTAGAAAGTAGCAACGCTACTGCCAAGCTACTGAGAAATGTAGTTAAACTAGTAGCGTCACTACTTGTAGCGACGCTACTGTCCAACATTGCCTATTATATAGATATCAGAGATGTATTAATGTGCGCTATGGCTCTTTTTTTACAATATCAACCTTATTTACACCTTTAGCATTGTCTACTAGACAAACAGATTGACAAAAGCACATTTTATTACTAGGTGTAAACAGGGCCTTAGAGACACCATCATTATTCTGCCTCGCTCTTGTACAACCTGTCAATGATGGCATTTTCACAACACAAACCTTACAAAGCATCAAACAGTGAATCAAATAATTTACCTGGACAGGAAGGTTCCTGATGTGAGATTTTTAGCCTCAAGCCTTGCCAGGCAGTTTGTGGTGCCAGGAATCAGTGCCAGCTGTGGAGAGACAGTGGCGGCAGATCCCACCGCTCGCGCCACCAGCTCCAAAGCATCCTGGACATAGTGATCCAGCGAAGGCTCGCCCATACGCCCGTGTGCAAGAAGTCCCATGGGGAGCCCCTCGGTCCGTAATTCCTCCACATTTTGAGAGTCTCCTATAATCCAGTGGTAATCAGGAAGAATCAAACCAAACTTTGCAATAGTGGTGAAGATTCTCCTAATATCCCTGATGTCACATCCGAAGGTCACTAAGGTAGACGTCGAGTCCTTGATGGACTCCAGCTGGGCTTGCAGGAATATGTGAAAGTCGTTTTTGGAGCTGCTGTTGGTGGAAATCTTTAGGACGGTTCCCAGGTGAAATTTGGAGTTGTTGTGGAGCAAGAAAACAAAGTCTGATATGTTCATCTGTTGACACATCACCAGACTGACATCGAACCAGTTATTCATGGACAGCAGGGAGAAGATGAGATTGGCTTGAGAGGTTTGGGGATTTTGCATGGCCATCTGGAAATGAAGTAAGTTCTGTTGGGAAGAAAGAAACGAGGATATCATTGCAGAGGGATGAATGTACTTTGGATCTTCCTTGGAAGTTTGGCTAGGTCATCTAGAGCTGTCTTTATTATTATTATTATTATTATTATTATTATTATTATTATTATTATTACAACTGCCAAATCATAGACTTAACTGGAAACTTAAATGACTTTATAAAGACTAAAAATCACTCTACAATACTGAATTGTGATAGAAAATATCACAACAATGAGTCAGAATTATTAGCCCCCTTTTGAATTTTTTTCCTTTTTAAATATTTCCCAAATGATGTTCAACAGAGCAGGGAAATTTTCACAGTATGTTTGATAATATTTTTTATTCTGGAGAAAGTCTTATTTATTTTATTTTGGATGGAAGAAAAGCAGTTGTAATTTTTTTATGAACCATTTTAAGGACAAAATTGTTAGCCCCTTTAAGC